ACGCATGATCATCCATAATGGAGGCGACGTCGCACGGTTCTCACCTCTTTATGATCCTCCACCACGCTGAGTAATGTATCTATAGTATTGAGGATTCCCATTGCAGTCACGGCTTTGTCATCGCTGCCCTCTTCATCTGGACCCGTCTGGATGACTTGATTAAAGGTCATGGCCTGGAAAGAAACAAATTAAATGCTGAGTAACACAGACATGAGCACGCAAATCTGACAGCAATGATCTGCAGGCCGCAGCACATCACTGCCACAGAAATCAGACCCAGAAATGCTACATCTGGATCCAAACCAGAACCCGAGCCCGCAAGGATTTGCACATGTGTGAGAGTTTGGAGGCTGGCCAGCGAGGAGAGCGTCCAACAGACGGCACTAGACCAGTACTATGATCTCATGTTATCTCCGGCTGCAGGATTTGTGTGAACGGAGCAGGGAGCCGGCAGCACGCCGACACACCGCTCCACCAGACACAGACTGACACTGCGCACACAGCACTGCTGCCTCTGAATGAACCACCGTCCACATCGGGACCAGTCCTGGGAGGGCATCTCAGAGAATTACAAACTATACATTGAAACGGTTTAAAGAAAGTCACTTTGCACCCCACCAGTTACACTCATTACCATTAACCCCGTGTCACTCCTCAAAAATCACATAATGCTCGGCTTAGGTCTCTGCAATAGACTCCCTCCATCTATGGGTACCATCTCTGTGCAGGTCTGTCCTCACCGGCCTATATACTCCAAAAAGATATGCGGCACACTCCGATATCCAAAATGTTTGTTTTTTTACACCAGAAGGGGAACAGCTCAGCATATATGTTACTGTTGTGTGTTTAAGAGCCAGCGTTGTGTTGTGACTATGTACCTCTAAGAGCCCCTCTGCTGCTGTCGCACTTATTGCTCAATCATCGCGCACCACGTCTGCCTCTGCTGCAGACAGCACTGGAATCCACTGCGTCTGAGGCCGGGGGAAGCGATCGTGTCACCTCCTCTGCCATGACCGAGCTCAGGTTTAGTCATCGGCTGTACTGTCTATGGGAGGAGGTTACATGCGTCCCCACACCTAGAAACATTGGGTGCTTTGTGGCCAAGGTAGTAGCGGCACGTGCCAATATACTGAGTGGCCGGATTATTATATACACCGAGTGGCCGGATTATTATATACACCGAGTGGCCGGATTATTATATACACCGAGTGGCCGGATTATTATATACACCGAGTGGCCGGATTATTATATACAC